CCGTCCCCGCCCGGTCCCCGCCGAGGGGCCGCCTGCAGAGCTCACCTGCCTTCTTCCCGCCGGGGACCTTATAATCTCTGAAGCCAGGGGCATGGGACGCAGGACGAAAGGAATCGTTCAATTCATTGTTAACACTATACATTGTTTTAGTCTCTGAATTCAGAAGATCTGTCTGTCAGGTATTTGCAGTCTAGCTTGGAACTTGGCTTCAGTGGTGTTTGCGATTTTAAAATTTGATCTGAGCCTTTGAATGAGGAGTAAGCTCCCTTATTGTTTATTTTGCCGACGTTTACTAAACGCTCAATACCAACTACCGTGAGGGCAATATTTGTACAGAATTTAATGATTGTTTTGAAGGGAACCGAATGAAATATAACCGGTGAGTGAAATGAAATTATGTAAGCCCTCCACTACCCCCTCCAATTAAAAATACTCTTAATGTTAGAAGCCGCTGGCAATGGCCTAGGGCCGTGGTCTGCAAACTGCCGCTCGGGAGCCACACGGGGCTCTTTGGCCCCTTGAGCGTGGCTCTTCCTAAGCTTTAGGAGTCCCCTAATTAAGTTAACAACAATGTACCTACCTATATAGTTTAAGTTTAAAAAATTTGGCTCTCAAAAGAAATTTCAATCGTTGTACTGTTGATATTTGGCTCTGTTGACTAATGAGTTTGCCGACCACTGGCTAGAGTAGTTTCTTGGTTTGTCTGGTTTGTTTCCTTGGCCTTGGGAGATGACTTTGGGAGTGTTTTCTCCTCAATTTTTAGAGTTTATTCACAGTAAAACTATCTGGTCCTGTTTTTTGTTGTTGTTTTGTTTTTAATTTATTTTTTATTTTATTTTTTCCCATCACCACTTATCCCCTCTGTGCCCTCTTCCACCTCCACCCCCTAACCCCCACAAATCACCACACTTCTGTCCATGTCCATGAGTTCTCTCTCTTTCTTTTTTGCCCAACCCCTCCCCCCCCAAACACACACACACACACACACACACACACGCACGCACACACACACGCGCACACACGCACACACGCACACACACACACACACTGGAGCTGCCTGCCTGCTCTCTTTCTATGAGTCGGCCTCTATCTGGGTTTGTTGTTGTTGTTGTTGTTAGGAGGCTTTTGATTACGAATCCAACCTCCTTATTCATTATTGGTTTGTACAATGGCCAATTTTTGAAAATAACTTCATCTTGGTAGGTTGTATATTTCTAGAAATGCCTCAGTTTCTTCTAGATCAGTGGTTCTCAACCTTCCTGATGCCGCGACCCTTTAATACAGTTCCTCATGCTGTGGTGACCCCAATTTCATTGTTACAAATTGAACATAATTAAAGCATAGTGATTAATCACAAAACAATATGTAATTATATATGTGTTTTCCAATGGTCTTAGGTGACCCCTGTGAACGGGTCGTTTGCCCCACAAAGAGGTCACAACCCACAGGTTGAGAACCACTGTTCTAGATTATCAAATTTGTTGGTGTAGAATTGTTTATAAGTCATCTGTCATGACCCATGGTATTAGTGTGGTGTCATTTGTCAATTTAATCTTTAAAAAAACCCAATTCTTAGTTTTGTTGATAATTTCTATTGTTTTTCTGGTCCCTGTTTCATTTATTTCTGCTTTTAAGCCTTGTTATTTCCTCTCCTCTACTAATTTTGGGCTTTTAGTTTGTTCTTTCTCTAGTTTCTTCAGGTGTAAAGGTAGGTTATCTATTTCAGATCTGTCTTTTTTCTCATTGTAGATGTTTATCATTATAAAATTCTCTCTTAGAATCGCTTTTGCTGCATCCCATTAAGTTTGGTATGTTGTGTTTCCTGTTTCCTTAGTTTCAAGATGTTTTTTGATTTTCTATTTGATGTATTCTCTTTATTTTTTATTAAATTTATTGGGGTGACTTTGGTTAATAAAATTATATCCTGTGTCCCATGCCCCATTCAACCTTTGTTTGCTTCAGAGAAGATTACAATATAGGTTTTAAGTGTGTAACTACATCATCTATAATTGTATTGTGTGTTTACCACACAAAATCACATCTTCCTCTGTCACCATGTATTTGATGCCTGTTACACCTTACTGCCCCCTCCTCCTCTCTTCCCTTTGGTAACTACCCTACTGATGTCTGTGTCTGTGAGTTTTTGTTTGTTTCTTTTTCTTATTTGTTCATTTCTTGTGCTCAGTTTTATACCCCACATATATGAGTGCAATCATATGGCTCTTGATTTCTGTCTGACTTATTTAACTTAGCATAAAATTCTCAAGATCCATCCATGTTGTCACAAATGGCAGTATTTTTTCTTTTCTTATAGCTGAGTAGTATTCATGGTATGTGTATACATATGCATCTTCTTTATCTAACCATGTATGAGGGACACTTTCATTTTTTCCATG